GCGGGGCAGAGTAGAGGGGACAGTGGGTACCTGCAGCTTGTCGAACCACCGCTGTCGCATGTCGCCGTGGAGGAAGACCTTGGCGATGTCGTCACCCTTGGCGGGGGCCTCGGGCTCGAGCACCAGCACGAAGAGGGCCGAATCGATCTTCTCCAGCGCGTGCTTGTTGTCGCCGTGCGACGAGATCAGCTCCGATCGCACGCTGGCCCACGAGTCCCTGTAAAACGCCGCACACGCCGCACGACACACATGAAACACGACACACGACACACACAGTGTTGGCGATGTTAGTCTCGGGCTTACAGGGGTGAATGAACGAATGATAAAGAGGCGGACGGAGACCTCCAGTCGGCGGTAAGTACGCCGAGACCCGGCTCGCGGGTGCCCGAGGGCGCGGACTCGTTGAGGATCTGCTGAAGCTGGCGCTGGATGTCCTTCTCGGGCACCACGCTGCCATCCTCGGTGATGATCTCCACCGTGTAGAAGTGGTTGTGCGACAGCACCGCCATGTGTCTGCCAGCGCCACATGACACGACACGACACACGACATACACGACACGACATACACGACACACGACACGCCGTTAAGACTGTATGGGAAGGGAGTAGGGTTGGGTAGTGTTGGAGGGCGAACCTGGAGTCGGGGTGGTAGACCATCTCGTCGCGGGAGGCACGGGGAATGCGGGCGGCGGCGAAGAGCTTGGTGTACTGCGACATGTCGAGGGGCGTCGTCTTTTCCATGTCGGGCTTCAGCTGGCCCGTGCGCACCAGCCGCTGGAACTTGGCGCACGCGTTGGCCAGGCCCGCCGCCCGGGCCACCTGCGACCGACGCTCCGGGTCGTCCCTGTGTGTGCGGTGTGTGCGGTGGTGCGCGTGCGTGTGCGTGCGGTGTGATCAGCCTTATGCTCAGAAATTTGTGGAATGTGTAGTGTAGCGGGCGTACTGCATGATGAAGAACGGGTTGACGTTGACGGGCAGAGGGTCGCGGATGGTGAGGTACATGGTGTCCCACCAGCCCTCGAGCCAGCTCGTGGGCGACTCGCGGTCGAGCGCCAGCAGTTCGGACTGCAGCGCGCGTCCCTCGCCGCGGGCGAACTCCTCGGCCAGCGCGCGTGCGTGGGCCGCCTCGGCCTCGGAGACCAGCGGCGCCACGTACTCGGCGTACCGGGCCACCGTCTCCTCGAGACTGGGCACGGGCAGCCGGCGCAGGCCCTTCTGGTGCTCGGCCCAGGCCTCCTCGCCGCTCGTAACCGACGAGCTCAGCCCGCGAGCACGCTGCTTGTGTGAATGAAAGGGGCGGTGGGTGCACGCACAAATGATGCTAATAACATAAACATAACAATAAAAAATAGCGTAAAGAATATAGATTTCTAAATCCGCATTAATAACTGAAAAAACAAACAGTAATGAGGGCATGGAGTGAACGTTTAGATTCGTCGCTGGCCGACAAGCGGCAAGCACATGGGGTCTATTTGGGATTTAAATATAATGGAACCTTGTCGCAAGGCGCAAAAGAACACTCCACGGATCCGCCAAACAACCGAACCATGGAAAGCGATTTGAAGGAAAAAGCAGCAGAGTAGCTTGGCAGATTCCGGGTGATGAACAGAGCAACACCGAGAGAGCTGCGTGGCTCTCGCGCTGCCCAATTTGAAGCAAAATCGTCGCAAAATGAAGATCAACACTGGTGGCGTACGAGGTGGCGAAGGCCCACAGTGGCAGGACGTGCCGTGGCAGTTGTGGTGCCAGCGAATCGTAGCGCGGTCCTCTTCATCATCTTTTGCACTCACAATGGATCGTGTATGAACCAACACGAGCGAGTTTGCGGGTAAACCTCACGTTCCCAGATCAAGAAAATAAAATAAAATAAAATAAAAAAGGCGCGAATTCTGTGCTGACGTGGCCTGTGACGTCAGCGGCATCCCACGGGATCTGCAACGCAGGCAAGCCACACAAAGCAAGAGTGAATGGACAAGGATGGAATGGAGGGACCGAACGCGACAGGATAGAAGTAGAAATTCGTTTTATCATGGACGATTATGGGCTGTCTACCGTCTTGCGGTATGGTGCATGTTCTTCATGCTCTGCGTGAGCTCGTTCACAGATGATCCGCCCCTCCCATCGGCATCTTCGGCACCATCTACGGGCAATACGTTAGATCGAACCATTGGGGAAGATGTGAAACGAGCGGATTTGGGCGGACATGTACAACGAAATGAGATTCGAGTAGAGAGAAGCATTGAAGATGGGCGAAGCGAAGCGGAAGGAGGCGGAAGGAGGGAGGACAAAGCTACCTCCTCTATACAAGATTCAGCACCGCCACAGCATCACCCCTTGCCTTCTCAGCCGCGACAACACGTAGCACAACCGCACAGCCCCCAACAGGCACCCTCGCGTACGACCCTCTCCTTTGTTCCTTCCTCCAGCTCGAGAGCCGTGCCTCATACGCCACCCCCTCTCTCTTTCTCTCGCAGCTGTTGCTGCAACAAACCAGGTCGCAGCCGATCATAGCAGTGAAGCGGCAGCGGGATCACCCATCGACGCCTCCGTCAACGCACACCAACAAGCCGCGGAGAATCAGCGCATGCCAGCCAGCGAGCAGGTACGCCTATAAACCGCGTGGCTCTCCACAAGCCTTGGCTCATGCGATCAACAGGACACCAAGGCTGAGTCGATTGCGGTCGACGCACCGCAGGCTGCAGCCATCACCTCGCTGCCGGGCATCGTAGCGACGGAGCCCGAGGCGAAGAGAGCCGATGAGAGCAGCGGCAACGCGGACAACGGCGGAGACCTGGGCCAGCAAGCCGGCGCGCCCAACGTGTCGGACACCAACCTGGCGGCAGCTGGCGTTGTCGTCGCAGACGCGGCCGTAGCAGCGAAGGAGGCTACACCGCTACATGCGAACGCGCCCGCAGCTGCATCTGTCACAGACGCAACCACTCGTCACGAAGCGCCACCAACAACCACGCACGACGCATCCACACAGCAGCAGCAAGAGCAGCCTAAGCAACAGCAGCAGCAACAGGCTCCTCAACAAGAGCAACCGCCTCAGCAGCAGCAGACTGAGAAGGCTGTCGAATCGCCGACTACGTCGAACCTGGCTCCAGCAGAGACGGCGAAGGCCTCGGCCGAGGCCACCGCGGCGGCGGCGGCCGCTGGCGAGAAGAAAGACGCAGCCAAGGACAAGGCAGGCAGCCGGGAGCCCACGCTGATGGACTCCTACACTGAGCTGTTCAACTACGCCTCGCTCGAGTGCGGCGCCAAGCTGCTCGCCGCCAACGAAGACGCCCAGGTACCCTGAAGTCGCATAGACCCCGGTGCTCTACCAGCTCACTCACGCCCCGATGCGGTCTCCTCGCTCTTGCACAGGGTGCGTCCAATGTGTTGTCCGAGTCGCGCGAGCGCTACACGATGAGTCCGTGCGGGTCCGAGCGGTGGCTGGTGATCGAACTCTGCGAAGAGGTTGGCCTCACCGCGTTCGAGGTCGCCAACTTCGAGTACTTCTCCTCCACGTTCAAGGTACGCGCTGGTCCGCGCCCCACAGAGCTCTGTGTGCCGCCGCCACTTGCGCTTAAGCCTAGAGCTAGAATGCAAGTCCCTGCACGCATGCACTAGGGCCTAACTTTGGTTCGACGTACAGGACATCCAATTGTTCGGGTCGCACTCGTGGCCGTCGGCGACGTGGGTGCACATCGGCAACTTCACCGCGCAGAACGCGAAGAAGATCCAGCACTTCTCCCTGCCCGAGACGGTCTGGTTCAAGTACGTTGACCTTTACCACCACCACCACCACTATCACCACCATCACCAGCATCATCGAGTAATTATCAATTGAGTACTGAACATCTCAACTTTGGCGCAGGTACGTCAAGGTGGTGTTCCTCACGCACTACGGCTCGCAGTACTACTGCCCAGTGAGCGTGGTGCGCATTCACGGCACCTCGCACGTGGCCAACCTCAAGGAGAAGATGATCTCCAACTCCAAGGAGATCGGCCAGCGCATCAACGAGATCAAGAGCAAGCACAAGCCCAAGGACCCCAACAAGGACGCGTCTGTCCCCGCCTCGCCGACGACGCACCCGGTACGCCACGGCACCTTTCTCGTCGTCAGCCACTCATGCTTTTGCTTACCATCACCATTCAAACACTCGCGTCAGGTGGTCATCAACGACGACGCGACGGTGCCGAAGAAGGACACGACGCTGCCCAAGGAGGTGGCCGACCTGGCCCAAGCCGGCAACCACGCCGCCGCCGCGGGTTCCGCCCCGCTCGCCCCGGCCACGCCAGGAC